CTTATAGTCCGGAAAATACGGTAGTTCAATCTAGGACATATCGCTCTTGAACTGCCTCTGGATGAGTTAGAACTCAGAGACAAGCACACACACAGATCAGACACGGAGCTGCACTTTCCCCCATTTACGGATGAGGCCAAATGCTGCTAATTTAGACAATTTAAAAGGCGACAAGGAGCTGGATGACAGGAAGACAATTAGGGGAGTAAGGGAGAGAGTTAGAGAGAGCGCAAGCAGATGATGCAAAAAAAAACCAACACAAAACGGCGAGGATACACTTACACAGAGGGAGCTGAAAAATACATTTTTACTGAGGGACAGATTGATGAATAGTGGCACTTGTGTCCTAAGAATGGACAAGGTAATTTGTTTTAATTACATGGACAGATGGACACAATGAGACAGATCTACAAAACAAGACTGAGAGGGAGAGAGTGGTGAGTCCTATTTGCACTGGACTAGAATGATCTGGGGACCTCATGTGAGTTAGGAGCTTAACCTTTAGCTAGACAGGATGAACAATGGAAACTGCCAATACCAGAAAAACAGCATTGGTCACTTAAAATGAACAATGTGTATGACAAGCTGGAGTTAGATACTGATTCTTTATTTTATTTTCTGAGGTCTATGCCTCCAGTCCAATACAATGTTGAATCAATGGAATTTCCACAGACCCTGTGGACAGGTTTCACACAGGCTTGTTTTAACATTTCCCATCAAACTGTACACATTTAGATTGGATAGATTTTTAGATTTTACATTGTGGATTAATCTATCTACCTATATCCGCTGTACTGGGCACTGATTCTGTCAAGAAATGTCACTGCTGAAAGTTTAGATTTTTGATAATGTTGTGAGCACCACAAAGTCAATTCCATTCACCTCACACATTCATTTTCATTAAAGGGGAAAAAATATAAGAGACAAATATATAAAAAATCGTCGTTATCATATAAGCATTAGGCAAAAAAGGCAAATATGCTGCGGAAAAGAGGGAAATGTTGCATGGGGAAAATACATAATACATAAACAAATGACCAAATGTATGTCAAGTCCAAACAAATGGAAAACTAAGGAGCTGAAAAAAGTCCTTTCGGAAAGATAAATAGAGTAAAATAAACTATAAGGACCAGTCTGTAATAATAATCTATTGGTGAATTTTGCGTATTTCAACCAACTGAATACCACCATAGAAGTGGCAGGACATGTTCATACTATTCATTTTTGGAATGGCCACAGTGGTCCTTTAGAAGGCACTGACAAACAACCTATTTTCTTGTGTCAGAGTGAGGACTTGTGGGATAAACAAAGTCAAATATGCTGACTTTTTTCATTTGGGCACGTTCCTTCTCTGAATGGGTCTCCATGCTGAGTAGCTAGATGAGCCTCCTGAATTTGCAGCAAAACTGCTGTCAAAGCTCTCATTAATAATTTTCACTGCAGCTTTCATAATTCTCTAACTGTATATCTCGACCCAGAAGAGGAGGAGGGGGGAGCAGGAGGATAGGAAAAAAACAAGTAATCTTTCAAAACAAGAACTATTAGCTCTGACTACTGAGAGGCAGATTCAAGTGGGACTGGCATTATCAGATGACCTCTATGTTTGGTGAAATATGTATGATGAGTGCTGTTTGTTTGGAGAAAACAAAGAGGAGGGATTGATTGATTCTATATTTTTGGCTCATATGGAGTCCAATTTTCTGTGCCAATGAAGAAGTAAACAAGAAGAAATGATACTGTGCATGATGTATTTGTAAGAGCATCATACAAACCTAACAAATACTTTTCAATTGTAACATTTCAACTGTGACGTTTAAGATGCAATACTCACTCCTTCTGACTCTCATTTGTACTGTGAAATGTGACATTTGAGCTTTGTTCCCTGTTCCAGCCACAGCCTGCAGTGCGCTGCAGTGTGCAGTGCAGTGACAGTACTGAACTGTGGTTATCTGTGAGCCCTGATAGTCTGAGAGGCAACGGTTTATATGAAGCATGTGCCTGAGCTTAAGCTGCTCCTCTCTATGCTGCACATGTAACACTTGTGCTGCCTCCAACTCTTCACGCCCAACATTGAGTTCATATGTCAGAGAGCAGAGCAGTGAAGCGATTGCTAATCATCACTTCTTCATTTTTTTAATCAGTCTTCACTGACTGACACCACACTGATTTTGCAGCACAAGCATGCAAAATCAGAATTTCAAAAAGGGCGAAGATACAGATTGAGGAAGAAGCGGAGACGAAGAGCACATGGGTTAGACAGGAGCGATATTGGTGACTTTAAAAACTGCACACTCACAACTATAACTCAGAGTTGGAGGCAGTGCAATGACAAGGCATTGCTATTGATTTATTGACTGTCCATTTAAACAGTATCAGCCTACAGCTGAGCTGTGGAGCTGCTGCTGTTACCAACTGGAAACTTGTGAATCATGGTTGTGCAAAGTACAGATAAACCTCTGCCAGTTGTTATCACGTTAACCTACGCCTTAGTTCTTCAAACCTGTAAAGTCCAGGGTCATGAATGATTGCCCTGGGGATTATGACAATCCCAATCAAGTCATAACGCACACTGTCATGAGGGTCTAGGACAAATCATTAGGTCTTGTAAGGGACTTATTGCATCTAATCTAATCCTAATCTAATCTCTAAATCCATATTTTAAACTAGCATGTTTACCCTCTCCTAAACTAAATACAACTTCTGATTTTAGATACTCTTCTCTTCTCTTCTCTTTCTGCAGAAATTAAAATAGAATTGTGAAAATTTTAGGGGGGCTTTTCTGTCATTTGTATGCATGTTAATGACATTCTAGCCTTCTAACAACAGAAGCACAAAAAAAGACCAAAATGATCAGAATGTGACAGTTTTTTCTTCTGATTTCAACAATGGGCCACATTAAACCCTTTTCTGAACATTTGGTGCCTTTATCACTGGTACATGATTCACACATGAAGCACATCCCCTGCAGCTAGAATTACCACAATGGCTCCCTGACAGCTTTACATAAACACACTAGCCAGTCCGGCATGTATCTACCTCTGTTCTGCCCCTCATTATGCCACAGTTTGAGAATGCCTCAGTGATCTTTCCATATAAAAAACTAAATATCCTCGGCCTCAGTCGACTAGAGAATACAGCGTAAGATGAACCCTCTTCCTCATCTTAACACTTTCATCTGGAATGTAATTAGCGCAGCAGCAAGAAGCTTAGTCCTCCGCCCCGCTCTCTGCCCAAACCAAGGTAACTCTAGGCAGCCCCTAATCCTCAGAGCCTAATGGGATTAGCTCCGGAGGGAAGGGAACCCGTGTCACACACACACAAATACATTCAAAATCCCAACCTCTCCTCCTCTGTCTCACTATCCATCTTTCTCTCCCTCTCTCTGTGCCATTCCACTATCTGTCTAATAGGATTAGACCAAAATTGGCCATTTCTTAAAAATCCCATCTAGTCCACTTAGTGTCATCATGCTGATGATGATAGGATGGAAATAATGAGCCTTGAATTATGACTTATTCAGAATAGAAGTGAACTACAGTGATTATCTGTGGGAAAGACCTTAATCTAAACTGGTACTAATTTTGTACTTTAATGCTTATTAATTAGCGGTTTCTTTCAGTGGAGTGTTTTGGCCATTTATTTAAGATTTTTGAGACTGACACAAACAACATGAAGAAAACAATTACACTCAAAATGTTGGGGTAAAAAAGAAAATCCACTACGATATACACTTTAGTGCAAAATAGCAATCAGCAATGTTACAAACCATTCGTATCAGCTGTTGAAAACCCTCCAGCAGGTTGTTCAGTACAGCACATGCACACACAGAGAACTGCATACTGATGAAAATGTGCAAGTAACAAAAACATTTAATACATGCTCATTGAATTCCAAAATAATATGTGAATCTTCCTTCAATAATTAATAAAGCACAGTAACTCTAAGGGCTTTCTTATAGGCCTTTCATACACGCATGTTTGATGCGCTATACTTAAGCACATTCAACAGGCTTTGTTCACAGAGAATGCAACTGCCATACCTCACTGCTTACCTAAGCATTGACACTGAGTTACAAAGAACCACTTTACATTACACCTATTCACCAATGCTGAGCAGTATTGGTGAATAGGTGTTTCACCATTTATTAATAATTTCAAAATCACTGTGCTTGTCTCAATGGAGTCAAAAGGAGTCAAAAGTAACAAGAAAAATGGGAGGCTGGTAATGGTGGTGTAATGCGATGTGCCAAACAATGTGGACGCATAGTGACATGGTATGCTATATAGACTGCTAAGCCAACAGGAGGCCCCACATCCAACCCGAAGACCAGAAAATGACAGAAACACACACACACACAC